AGTATCAATGTATTTTATCCAATGACTTTTTAATGCAGAATGCATACACAGTGGTGGGAGCAGAGAACAAGGACCCGAACCCAGAACTTGTTATACCAGGATAGGGTCTATATCACAGTCCTGATCCCTCTTGCTTGCTACCTCTGGCTCTATAAATCTTACATTCCTTTCTACATGGTGACCAGGTTTCATCAAGAGGGGTGAAACCTTTTCTTTCACCTGAAGGTTCATATTAACTTGAAGTCTGGTGCTTTTAAGCACTCTCCTGGTCAGTGAGAGAGATCAGCTACCATGCCTACAGGCTGAAGAGCTCCAAGAATACAGGTCACCCACTTCCTCAGTGATTGTTCTAATCCTTCTTACATGTTGCATTTTGAGCTGCTCAAATGTTGACCAGTGTTAGTGCCAGCTCGAGTTTGGAGCAGTCACACCGTAATGCTAAAAGCCTTCTCTGACTGTCACCTCCCACTTGCATGGCTCTGATTTGCCACTAGAGGTATGGCAAGCAGGGGCCCATTTAGGAGCTATAGCTGTGAGTTGCAACTGGAGGGCTAATTTTGCTATGACAGGCTTCTTCCAGCCCTGCTCTAGGTGGGGGGGTATATGAGAGATGGGCTGGGGTGGTGCAAACATGAAGCTGACAGGCTAAAAGTTAATGGTATGGGGGTGGGTAATGAATTGGGAGGTAGAAAAGGGGGTGAGAGGAAGGGTGGTGAAATGAACAAAGTCAGCCACTAAAGGATAAAATAAAAAGAAGTAAAAAAAATAATTTAAAAAGAAATAAAGAGGAAGTAAATCAAAGAAGGTCTCATGTTCCTAGGGTGAGTGGGAGGTGGGAGTGTTGACAGAAGAGGCTTTGGGGGAGCTACTGCCCTTGCCCTGGGAAGCGAACCCCAGCTCAGGAGCACCCAGTGCAACCCCATACTTGTTCCCTGCCATGCCTGCTAGACCTCACTCCTGGACCTGACCATGTCCTGCAACCTGGCTAGTGGAAATGGGCTTTGTAGGCTGTTTTCAGGGGGTTGCACCCTTGGGGCTGGGAAGGTCATAGCCCCAGGAGTTGGAGGTGGTGCTGATTTAGCACTAGAACCACTGCTGGGCAGTAGAGTTCGAGTGGTGGAAAGTTTGTCCACACAGAACAGGAAGGTGGGGGAGGGGACACTGCATCTTGAGATGCTTGAGAACTGCAAGTTGGGCAGTTCATCCGTGTCACACCTGAATGGAACATGAGCTGGTTAACACAGATCAGAGATAAGTCTGCCCTGGAGTGGCATAACTTTAAGTTGCCTAAAGTGTGCTTAAAACTAGTTTCAGGTGTTTATGCATGGTTAAGGGGTTAAGAGCTCTAGAAGCTGCCTAGAATTATGTGTACCAAAGCCACAAGGTATTTGGAGGAAGGCACCACTGACTGGGTTTTAAAAGAAAGGGGTGAGATAATCAAATGTACATGAAAGGAGACTTGCACATCTCTCTAGGTATAGATTATTGGGTTGTGAATCTCAGTTTCACATCTAGCTGAGGACTGGAGGTTGGCATCTAAATGCTGGAAAGACTTACACCTCTCTGCACTGTTAGGTGAATGTAATATATCCCAACCCTAGGCACTTAACTATTCCCATTTAATGTGTAGGAAACTCATACCCAGCTGTGTAAGCAGAATACATAAGTCCTTTTTGAATCTTGCCCTAAGGTGTCTAATAGGGATGGGGATTTTGTGGACTGCATTCTTGGATTTAGGTCCTAAATTCTGCCTAAAGTCTACTTAAGATGAATATGTTCTTTTGCATATCTGGGCCAAGTTGCCTAAAAGTTAGGCAACACCTCTGTGACTTATGGATCTAATTATCAATGCCTGCATTCTCTATTTGTAAAATGCAGAAAACAGTAATTTCCTGTGCAAGGGAGTAGCAAAGATAAATACATTAAAGACTATGAGATGCTCAGATACTACAGCAGAGAGAGATCGATAATAGTGCAGATATATTATACATTTGTTTTGGAAAACAAGTATTTTTCTTGGGAACTATTGTCCATCAGCTTCAGTATATAGTGGGCTAAATAATTTGATTTAATTTTCTTAATGATACTGTCAAGTACAAGGTAAAGACTAAGTAAATGCATGCCTTGGCTCTGTGCATGTGCTCTCTGGGGGCATTTTGGCAGTATGGATATAAACAAAATTACTGAATTACATTCTGTTACATTTCATTCTTTTATTTGTGTTTTATGAATTGACAGCCACTTAGCCAACACTGTATATTAATTGAGGGCATATCTTATTGACAGGTTGAGTTACTGTGCTTTCCCTGACTAATGAACTTTTAATGACTGCAGGCTTTGGTACAATTTAGGTGACCTTGAGGAAAGAAAATGGCATATTATAATGATATAAAGGTATGCAGCATTTAACTAGGGTGACTGACATATATATATCAGGGCAGATTTTGGCTCTCAGTCCTTTGAGCAGTGGAAAGGTCTTTATCAACATCTGAAATGAACCATGAAACTGGTCACAAGCTGTGTAAACAGGACTATTGACTTTCAAGTGATGACTGAGAACTATTGACTTTGTCACCAGTAAAGCTGGAGCCCATTTCAAACCATTTAACAGGAAAAAAGCATCCTGACAGGAAACGTGTTACATAATATTATGGCAGATTAGATTCAGATTTGTAAACTCAACCTGGGGTTGTTACATATCCATAGCTGAGATGCAAATTTAGTAGAAGCAAAGATTTGGTCCTGAATAAATGTCTTTCTCTCTACCGTAATAAATAGCCTTCAGATTTAAATAAGTTTCATCATTTACTGAAAGAGTACCTCTGACCTACCATTATATAAATTGAAGTGTGTGTGAGAGAGGGAGTTCTTGCTAACTGTATTGCTCATTTGTCCATTAGAAGCCCAGATTGTGCTTTTCTCACGTCCCATCACTCAATCCCTGTTACTGTAAGAAGCCAAAGTCTTCATCAAAGCTGGACATAAAGAAGTCTAAAACACCATTCCAGGGAAATCACTTTTAAGATAACAACATCATAAGGAAAAAATTATTGTAATACCCTGTAAGATAATCAAACTATTATTATTATTGTTAGCATTAAATTCCTGCCTGGCGATGTCAGCTGACAATGAAAGTGACCTGCAGCTATCCAGCCATGTGCCATGGAACACACTCTTCTCATCTGATCCCAGCAGTCTTTCCTGCCCAAGTGCAGGGGGGCTGGACCCAATCATTTGTCATGTTCCTTCCAGCCCCTAATATCTATGAAACTATGAAAACAACCATGGTGGTCAGGAGAGCACAGATGTGGTATATAACCAGTTTTGCTGCATCACAGTGTTGGGCATGGTGCACTTTGTCCAGTCCTGAGAAGCTGAGCCTCTAAGCTGACTAGGAATATTCTTGGGGCCTTAATGCTAATGCTATATGTAATTGCTTGTTTTAAAGTCAACAGAGGTTGTCTACATCTATGCAGTAGGCCTCTGCAAAGCGCCAAGTATTTGCTTCGGATTCGGATTTGGTCGATTCGGAGATTTGAATCATTGTCCCAATTCAATTCAGCTGAACTGGATCTGAAGATTTGGTGCTGCTTCGGAGCTTCGGCCATAGACTAAACAGGCAGCAGTCCTCACCATGCTGGACACAGTTGCCTCCAGCTGGTAAATCTGTTGTGGTGGGCAGAGGGGGCAGGGGAGGAGGGGGGCAGATCAATGCCCCCACAGTGAGGGAGGGATTGGGGCTGGGAAAAGCTGCCCAGTCAGGACAGGGGGTGTGGGACTCAGGGAGGAGGTTGCAGGGGCATGGGATGCAGGTGCAACAGTGGTGGGGGCTATGACCTACGGCTGCTTGTTCCCTTCTGCCCGGAGCGAGCTATGCCTGCATTGCGGCCTGCCCCAGCTGGGCAAGCAGCAGCAGGGCAGAGTCCCTGTTCACAGCGCTGCTGCCCTCACATCCCATGTCCCTCCAACCTGACTGGGCAAGCGGCAGCAGCACCTGCACCCTACATGCCCCCACCCTAGATGGGCAAGCAGTGGGCTATGCCTTGCCACCGCTTGCCCACCTGGAGCGGGGGGGTCCAGGATGCAAGCATAGCAGCACTGGGAGCGGGGGCTCTGCCTTGCTGCCGCTTGTCCAGCTGGGGCGGGGTGAGATGCAGGCGGGACTTGCTCTGGGCAGAAGGGGGCAAATGGCATCAGGGCATAACCCCTGCTCCCAGCACTGCCGTGCTTGCATCCTGCACCCCCCACCCCTCTCTTTGAGTCCTGCTCCCAGAAGCGACCCAAGCAGGGTGCGGGGTCTGGGGCAAATCAGCCTGTGCAGGGCCCTGCCCCCGGACATGAGGATACTGGCGGTGGATTTGATGGCAGGGAGGGGGGTGCCGAGCAGCTGGAGGTGCTGGATTCGGCACCCAGGGGGTGGTGCTGACCAACCGGACGTGAAGCCGCCGGCAGTGTGGAGTCACTGCAGCCACTCTGCCTGGCTCCACGGCGCCCCCCAAAGTGCAGGGCATGGGGCGGTCGCTCCAATTTGCCCCCCTCAGGGATGGCCTGCCCATGGCCCCCTGTTTCAGCTGAGCAGCTTGTTCCAGCCCCAGCCCCTCCCTCGCTGTTGGGGCATTGATTTGTCCCTCCCCCCATGCCCCTTCCCTGCCCCGTTGGCCCACCACAACAGACTTACCAGCTGGAGGCAGCTGTGTCCAGCGTGGTTGAGGACTGCTGCCTGCTTAGTCTATGGCCAAATCTCCGAAGCGGCACCAAATCTTTTCTGAATTGATTCAGAGGCTTCCAATTTGATTCAGGCCTTTTAATTGGTCTCCCAATTCAATCTGGGTTCAGAGATTTGGCTGCCGAATTGGTCTGAATCTCCTCTGAATTGAATCGGCTACCAAAGCGTCACACAGCGCTACTATGCAGTGCTGGCATCACACATTTCCTGCACACTCTGCAAAGTGTAAGAACTACTGCTTCTCTCAAGTGACTGTTCCTTTTTTGATTTCTAGGATCACTGTCACAGCAATGTGCAACATGGACTTCAGCCGATTTCCCCTGGACACTCAGACTTGTTCTTTGGAGCTGGAAAGCTGTATGTTGCACCCAAGTTCATGTCTATTACTTCTTTCTTTGCTGACTCTCCATGCTCAGACTAAGCACTCTTTTTCAGAATGAAAAAAAGAATACATTTAAGTAGTACAGGCCAAAACTTTTGGCAGGCATGCTACAAGTTAAGTCATGCTCCCTCCCTGAGTGCCACTGTGACCCCTCGCCTCTAGAGGCGCCCTGATAGAGCTTCCACCTGGGGCACTGGAGTGGAGGCAGGGGGTCCATAGCCTCTGGCTGTGTGGAACAGAGTGGGGCCAGGATGCTGCTGGAAGAAAGGTGTCACCACCAAGGACCATGTTAATCTTTCACTGGCCCTGCAACTGCTGCAGTGTTACATGGTGAGTGAGCATCCAGTGCCCTGAGTTTGTCAGTGGCTGTAGGACCAGGAAAGGATTAACCTGGTGACACCTGAAACCTCTCTCACCAGTTCTGTCCTATCTGTGCAAAGCCCCCTCCTGACCTCCATTCGAGCACCTCCCTTTACTGAGTGCTGCAAGCTCAGATGCCACACACGGAAGCTGCCTGTGCCACTTGTGGCACATGTGCAGTGGCTTGGTCACCAGATTGAGAGGCTTCCCTTTGACTCCATGGGCTTTGAATCTGGTTCTTATTTTTGGAGGACAGCATATGTGTGTGCATGAAATTTTAGTAACAGGTTGATTCTACACCTGTTTAGGTTAATGTGTGACACTTACACAATAACCTAAAAATGAATCAACACTGAGTGCTCCTTTATGGCTTGGTGAGGCCTACACAGCTATGTAGGGAGAATTCAGAATTTTGGCTGTGTTGATTGGCTCTGACTGGGTGACAACAGAGAGGAGTTAATGCTGGAGGAGAAATGTAATTATAACCGTAACAATAATATCATTTATAATATCATAAAACATATATTTAGAATATTATTTAGAATAATGTTAATTAAATACTTGAACTCTGGTACTTTTTATGCCCAAGGACAATAAGTACATTACAAAAGATGGGCCTCATTTTGTAAACACAACAGTATGCAAGTCATCCCAGTGAGTTCAACCTGGGTAACACAGCTCAACTCAGTGGGACTCCTCATTCAAACAAAATTATTTTCATTCTTAATTGCCTTAATCAGAATTTATGGCATGGCCTTTGCCAGACTATTCCCAAGCCTAGTAGGCTGTTGTTCTGAGCTTTTCCCAGGGTTTCAGCCTATGTTTTCTTCTGTTAAATTTTATCCCATTACCCCTAATTATACTCATGTATTGCAATAAATAATTTCTCATTCATACTCTTTGAATACTTACATGCTGTTATCTCTAATCACACTTGTTACCCTCAGTTACATCTTTTTGATAATGTTTTAGGTAACTGCAGCTTACCCTTCCTCTAAATTTGGTCAAGTTAATTCCTACGGTTTTCCTCATAATTATGCATATACTTCCAGCCCTCAGTCAATTTTGCTGCTGTTCTCAGAACTCCCTCCAGTTTGTCTCCACTTTTTTGATACAATAGGAGCCAGACACGTACCACTCTCCTTTGATTTTACCAGTGTTGTATGAAGAGAAACTATTATTTCCCAGAAATACCATGAAATAGCGCTTTGTTTTGGCTTTCTGTGCTGCTATAGTCCATGACATGTCAAGATTCTAGTTAATCCATTGTACATTATCATTGCTGGTCTGCGAGGGGAAGGACAGGCATTATTGCACTTCAAAGACCCATTAATTTTTCCCAGATGAATTAGTCTGCATTTTTGCAACCAACTCCAGTTTTGTTGTTTCCCGTTCCCATTTCTAACCTTTTTAGGACTCTTTGTCTTATTACTCTGATCTCTCAGTATTTCCCTATTTTGGGCCTGAGCTTGCTCTAGCGAATCAGGATGGGGTTCTAAGGCCGTTCATGAATTTCATTATCATAGTGTTTATCCAGGCATGATTACTTTTTATACTGGTTGTTTAAAATAGCCAAAGCCATTTCATAGACTCATAGAATCAGAGAAAATTAGGGTTGGAAGGGGCCTCAGGAGGTCATCAAGTCCAACCCCTGTTCAGAGCAGGACCAGCCCCAACTAGATCATCCCAGCCAAGGCTCTGTCTAGCTGGGTCTTAAAAATCTCCAAGCATGGAGATTCCACCACCTCTCTGGATAACTTGTTCCAGTGCTTTACTACCCTCCTTGTGAGAGAATTTTTCCTAATATTTAACCTAAACTTCCCTTGCTGCAATTTGAGACTATTGCTCCTTGTTCTGTCATCTGCCACCAGTGAGAACAGTCTAGCTCCATTGTCTTTTCTTTTTCTAAGATGCGTACACTGATGAAGATCTGATGCTGTATTGGAAAAATGGGAATGAATCTCTAAAAACCGATGAGAAGATTTCTTTGTCTCAGTTTTTGATACAAAAGTTCCATACTACCTCGAGACTTGCTTTCTACAGTAGCACTGGTATCAGTCTTTTAAAAACTTTTTTTTATTCTTTGTATCACAACTATATATTAGTTCAGTTTCAAACACTAACGAGGTGAAATCTAAATGAAATTTCTGTTATTTGCCTGAATAATAACCATTCTTATGTGTAGTTTATATTGTGAATGATCTGTAGGATATAGCGTGTTCATGCTCACATACATGTTTATGGATTATCTACTCTTTAAATATTGGAATTGCTGAGAAAGATAGCTGCTCTTCTACAAATCATAAAAGATGCTCTTAATGACATTTGTTTCCTCTCCCCCACAATAAAGGGTGGTACAATCGCCTGTATATAAACTTCACATTGCGGCGCCACATCTTCTTCTTCTTGCTCCAAACCTACTTCCCTGCCACTCTGATGGTCATGCTGTCCTGGGTGTCCTTCTGGATTGATCGCAGAGCAGTACCTGCCAGAGTCTCATTGGGTGAGAGGAATTTACAAAAACCATGAATATAATACACTCCTTGAATTTGAATATTTGGTGGGACAGAGAATTTGATTTTGTTGTTTAAAGGTTTTAGGAAAATAAATATCTATTCAATCTGATTATTAAATTAATTTGATGTTGATATTTTGTTTTGTTGTTCATTGTTGAATTCATTCTTTATATCATTGATAAATCCTCCTGATCTACTTTTAAAAATCAGGGCAGAAGAGGGAACAAAGTTTTTTTTTTCTTTTTTAAAAGAGAAGCAAGCAGAGAAAAAACATATTAGTGTTGTTGAGCCAGAGAATCAAGATTTCTAGCTACAGGCTCACTCTTGCAGCCCTGAAATTTAAGGTCAAGGAGGGCAATATTTTTAGGAGGGCCTTGAACCCACAAATCCCATTTCCCAGGTGACTGCCCTATAGTCTGTCCACCAGACTATAGTTAATGTGAGGGCAAACTCCACCCTTCCTGTTGAGGCTGAGACACTGTGCATCAGTCAATCCAAGATTCATTGATCCAGGGGAACAAGCAAAAGGAAGCCTACATCTGTAGTCTAGTGATTACAGCAGTCCCCTGGGAGAGGGGAATCCTAGGATCCACTCTGTTCCCAGAGTTATTTTGTTTTTTCTAACACAGTTTCTCTAACTCATATTCCTTGGACCAGGTTTAATTTTTAAGCATAAGTTGAATGGACTGAAGGGGCTGGTATGGATTTTGCGCATAGTCCCTAAATCCTGCTAGGAGTCTATCTGCATCTGCATCTTTAACAATCTGACCATAAGAGGCTGTTTAATTCAGGACAGTTGGAGCTTCTTTTGTTTGCACTATGGTTTGCTAGAGCTACATGCAGATGCAAGCCTCTATAATGAAACAACAAAGAGCTCACTCAAGTGAAAGGAACTGCTTTTAAATGGAACTTACAAAGAATAGATCCTGATAAGAAATGATACACAATGGATGTATTTTCAATATTTACTAGTTTAGAATGACCTGCATAAAGTCATAGATAATACTCCTTGGCTTTGCACTCAACTACTGGATGGCTTTTTGCAAACATGTAAACACTGAGATTCGTTCTAATTTTCACTATAAGCTTTTTACCTCTGTTTGTTGAACCAAACAAAACATGTACATGCTTACATGCTTATCTGTCAAATATATGGGATAAGCACAATTGCTGCCATTTAAAACTTTTCAGCTCTTATTGTTACCATAGATAATTATGGGTAGAGCATATGATGCTTTTTCATCACAGCATGTCATGCAAGACATTTTCTAGATCACACATGGAGGATTTTTGCCTTTTGTGGAAACTATTTACATCAGATGCTCTTCAGCAGTTATCAAGTCATTAACCGCTTTTTGATTAGTAAGATGACAAACTGATTGTTTCAGTGAACCAAGAGTCCTTATCACTAGGGGCCTTCTAAAGAGCAGAAGAATCTGACTAATTGACTCAGTAGTATGAACAACTTCCTTAACCTATAGAATAGTCCTTGTAGGCTGGGATCAAGCATCATTTCCAAATTAGGTATCCAAGAGTTAAAGAATATCCCAATGGAAGGAGTAGCTGGCCCA